AAGGGAGAGAGGGAAGGAAGGAAGGAAGGAAGGAAGGAAGGAAGGAAGGAAGGAAGGAAGGAGGGAAAGGGAAAGGAAACATGGCCACTGGAACTGGACTTTTCAATCCAAGGAAGAATATTCCAGAGTCTTAAGACATCTAAGCCACTGTCTTTCATACTTCAATAGTGTCTCATGACTATGTGACCTCAGTGGGTTTTAACCAACATTATTTAAAGGAATGGGCTAGAAAGTAGCCTGGCTTATACTTAATAAGGAGAGATATTCATTTGTGACACTGGTTCCTGCTTTGTATACGTACAGCTGTGTGCTGCTCACGATGTAAAATTGTGTTTTCTAAGTTCCAGAGTCCCTGCCCTATGCCCTTCTGCTTGTGCTTTAATAAAGTGCACTCTCGGGCTGGGTGATTCAGAGAATACACGAGTGAGAATATCAACAAGATTCCTGTAGCAACTGAAGGGTGTCCTGATGAACCAACATGAAATGACAGTCACTGGCAGCCTATGTGTTGGGGGGAGGGGAAGCAGGTGCCTGGAAGCCCCAACCGCCCCCCCCCCCCCCCCCCCCCCCCCCCCCCCCCCTCCAGCTCCCAGCATTGCACCTGGGGCTAACTGCAAGGCGGGAGATCAATCTGCAAAGATCGGGTGAAAAGAACCTTCTGGGTGGATAGAACAAAATGCCAAGGCCCTAAAACAGCATGAGAAAAAACAGGGTAACACTGGGTCTGGAGAGTCAGGGAGCTCAACTGACACCCATCACCGTGTCTGAGGATACGTACCGGGCGGACCCCAGGGAGACAGGAGATACACAGGTCAGACTCAGGATTCAGCGCGACACAGAGACGGGAGAGCTAGCAAAGCAGGGACTGGGGACGCTCGTTTCAGGAGAGCAGGTCACGCGCGAGAAAGGAGATGGAAAGGATCGCCCTGTAGGCCATCATTTCAGCGATGGAGAAATGCAAGCAGTCAGAGTGCTTGGAAAACTGCTATGTTCAATTTAATGGGTCAAATATTTACCCAGTGGTATTTCTAGTGTATTATTTGCTTAGCAAAAAATGTTTCTTGTTCAGAGGGGGCAGGAATACTCCTCATGGGTTCTGTGTTATCTTAATTTTGAGCAATTTCATGTAATATCTTACCCCTTACATAATAGTCCTTAAAAATGAAAGGTCTCGGGGCGCCTGGGTGACTCAGTTGGTTGAGTGTCTGACTTCGGCTCAGGTCATGAACTCTCAGTTCGTGGGTTCGAGCCCCGCGTCGGGCTCTGTGCTGACTGCCAGCTCAGAGCCTGGAGCCTATTTCAGAGTCTGTGTCTCCCTCTCTCTCTGACCCTCCCCTGCTCATGCTGTCTCTCTCTCTCTCTCTCTCCTAGAAATAAAGAAAAAAAAATATATATATATATAAAAAATGAAAGGTCTTTTTCCTAAAGATACACTTGTAAAAAACAAAAAATAATGATACAAATAGTCATTTGTGGCTATAATCTTAAGACTCTGAGCATTAATTATATATCCAACAATGTTTAAGATCAGCGGGAAAACTGCATAGATAACGTACGTAGATATGCACACACATGAAACGTATATTGGCTATAAAAAGATGACTCAGAGTTCTAATCCTGATATGCATTCACCGGTTTTCAAAATAGCAGATAAATTTCCATTTTACTAAATTAAACTTTCAGGAGGTGCATCATTACAGAGGGCCACATTTTCCATTTATTAGCCCAAGGTTCCTTTCAATACTTGGTTACCACTGATGTTGCAAACATTCATTTTTTGGGAGTAAATACTGTTCGTGTAAGAAGCATTCAGGTTTCAAGCATGTTCCCATTTTTTTTTTTTAATGTTATGCTTATTTTGAAACCTCCCCATAGAGAGGGGAGAAAGAGAAAGGAAAGGAAAGGAGGAAGAGGGGAGGGGAGGGGAGGAAAAAGAGAAAGGAAAGGGGAAGGGAAGGGAAAACAAGAAATGAAAAGAATGAAAAAGTATACATATGAGTTATTTAGTTTTTGTTTTCTCTCTCGAAATCGTCACTAAATTCACTAACAGTAAGGATGCGGGGTAGATTATGTTACAAAATAGCAATCTAGGTCATCCTTTCTGAAAATTGATACCTTATCTATAGAAGAGGGAGAGAAATGTGCTCCAGTCCATTCCTGGGGAAGTCGCCATGCCTGTTTCTCTCCTCCAACCTTGGCTGTGCGTTTATGGGAGACCCATCAAGTGGCAGCACTTACCTCTCATGGTCCCCTCCATCTGCCTCACACTCATAAACAACCCCATTACTCTGGTTTTCTTCTCCCACGACCCATCTTTCACAGAACAGAAATTACGTTTCTTATCGGAAAGACTAAATACGAACATGTATTTCCTCTAAGAAGATCATAGCGCTCCGAGAATAAACCCATCCTTTTCGAGCCTTATTACACTTCATCGACTTCTCATTCTAAAGTTAAACACGATTTTTGCTATCAAGTGAAAACGGCAAATAAATGCTGAATTTGCTTAAGATGTTCAAAGGCATTCTCTCAGTGTCTAACATGCTGGATCCTCTCATAGTCTGCATGGAAATCATGCAACTGGGCGACACGATTTCGAGCCTTCTGGCTGGAGCATGTGTTGTCATGTGTTGGGGGAAAAGCCGTGCTGATGGCTCCACCGTTGTGTCCACCCACCCTCCTGTGGCGTGGTGTCCCCAAGAGCTGGAACGGCTGGGGAGTGTGTGAGAAGAGACGGGAACACCCTGCAGGGCTTGCCTTGTGGGAGTGAATATGAATTTTCACACACTGCCTTCGGTTTTATACATCTCCTGACTCCAGTTCACCCGGTATGGATGACTGTAAATTCCTCTGGTTCCGATGGCTCTAAAAAAGAAATTGCCAGCATGAGTGGCCTGAATATCACAAATACTGGACGCAGTATTTTTCTTTAGGATGAATAAGGTGGAGAGGGTACCGCAATAGTGGCGCGCGGGCGCGCACACACACACACACACACACACACACACACACACACACACCACGTTCTGTGAAAAATGTGCAAGCGTGGTACCACGGTATGTTATTAAAGACATCAGAAACCTGCAGTATGCAAGTACTGCGGTATCATTTGCAGGAAAGGAACCTGGAAGGAGGCGGGTTTGGGTAACTGGACAGCCCGGGGAGGCTGGCTCCTCTGGCGGAGGACTCCGGGCAGTATCTCGGTGATGACCGAGTGCCCCGCTCCCCAGCGCGGGGGTGTGAAGGCAGCGATGACGACAGACAATGAATAGGAAGCAGCGGCTTTCTTTCCATTTCCCCGCATAATATCCACAGATGGGTAACGGCGGCTAAATAAAGAAACACAAAGAAAAGCGGGTTCCCAAGGCGCCCAGCGGGATCGACTGGCGCGGGCTGCTGGACGGAGAGCCGGCCGGGTGTCTGGGCCGCTCGCGGTCCTGAGGGCAGTCCGACCCGCCTCCGCACAGGCCCGGGACGTCTGCGGACTCGGAAGTTGGGACGCACCTTCTTTTCCCTGCGGTGCGCGCGGCTAACTCCAACGCCACCGCCCAGAAGGCGCGCGGGCCCCTCGCTAGAGGCTCAGGACAGGGCTGCTCCGGAGGGCGCCGGGGACCTGGGGGGGGGGGGGCGGGGGGGGGGGGGGGGGGGGGGGGGGATATGACAGAATCCAGAATCCTGTGGGTGAAGACCCAGGAGGAGAGGATGACCACTTTGCTAAGGGGTGGGGAGCGGGGGAGGGGCAGGGCGAGCGGGACGGGGGGAGGAGGGACGGGGGGCCGGCCCGGAGACGCGTGGGCGGGGCTGCGCCGAAGCTCGCGGCTCCCGGCACCCGGTTCAGAACCCGCCTCGGGAGTGGCCACATCGAACGCGAGGACCGGGCCGCGGCCGGACCCCGCAGACCGTTACCGCGGCCTCGGCCTGGGGCGGACGCACGCGGCCCGGGCGCGGCCGAACGGTCCCGCTGCGTCTCCGACCGCCCCCGAGGAGGGGACACAGAGCGAGAAAGGGACAAAGCAGAACACGCGGACGGGGGAGGGAGAATGCAGCCTCTCGGGCTTTATATGGATTTCTTTGCCTTCGGGGGGAAAAAAAGTGGGGGGTGGGGGGAGAAAGAGAAAAGCGGAGGGCGAGCCCACGTGCCCGGGAGGCGCTGTGTTAAAGCGCCACCTTCCGTCGGCCGGGGCGCGGCGGGCTCCCCGGGGGGCGCGGGCGCGCGCGGCTCCGGGAAGCCGCCGCACACTCCCGGGGGCGCGCCGGGCGGCACCCCCGCCCCGGCTGCGCGCGTGCCCGAGCGCGTGCCCCGCGCGAGCGAGCGCGCCCAGCCGGCTGGCTAGGACCGGCCCCCCGGGGACCCGGCACAAAGGGGCGCCGGCCCGGCCCGCGCTAAGCCCGGTTCGCCGCGGCGCAGCGCGCGGCCGCCGAGCATCCCGGGGAGGGGCGCATCTGTGCACACACGCGGATTTTTAAAAAATAACATATTTCCAGACGTGCCTCCCCCTCTCCCCCCGCCCCCCACCTTTGCAAAAGCAGCCCCGAGGGCGGGGGCAGAGGGGGCGTGGCCGGGGAGTTAATAAAGGGAGGTGGGCGGAGCCGGCCCGCAGCCATTGGCTGGCCCGCGCAGTGATGTCACCCATCTGACGCCCTGATAACTAGTTGGGAGAGAGCCCGCAACTTTTTGCAGAAGGAGCGCGCGCGCCTGGGAGTGCTCGGGGTCCGGCGCTTGCGGCGGGAGCCACGAGCCGCAGAGCGGGGTCCCGGGCCGCCTCGACCGCCGCCGCCGCCGCCGCCGCCGCCGCCGCCGCTTCCCGCGCTCGGGCGGCCGCCGCCGCAGCCGCTGTGCGCAGCCTGGAAGGGGGGGCGGGGGGGAGGGGGGGCGCCGCGGACGCGGGGTACCGAGGACTTTGCAACTTGCCCGGGAAGGTGGAGGGGCGAGAGGGGGAGGGGGACCTCCGCACGAGAGCGAGCGGCCCGGGTTGGAGCGCCCAGCCCCGCGGCGGATCATGGTGCAGCAGGCGGAGAGCTTGGAAGCGGAGAGCAACCTGCCCCGGGAGGCGCTGGACACGGAGGAGGGCGAATTCATGGCGTGCAGCCCGGTGGCCCTGGACGAGAGCGACCCGGACTGGTGCAAGACGGCGTCGGGCCACATCAAGCGGCCGATGAACGCGTTCATGGTGTGGTCCAAGATCGAGCGCAGGAAGATCATGGAGCAGTCCCCGGACATGCACAACGCCGAGATCTCCAAGCGGCTGGGCAAGCGGTGGAAAATGCTCAAGGACAGCGAGAAGATCCCGTTCATCCGGGAGGCGGAGCGGCTGCGGCTCAAGCACATGGCCGACTACCCCGACTACAAGTACCGGCCCCGGAAAAAGCCCAAAATGGACCCGTCGGCGAAGCCCAGCGCCGGCCAGAGCCCCGAGAAGGGCGGCGGCGGCGGCGGCGGGGGCGCGGGCGCGGGCGCGGGCGGCGGCGCCAAGGCCCCCAAGGGCTCCAGCAAGAAGTGCGGCAAGCCCAAGGCCCCCGCGGCGCCCGCGGGCGGCGGCGCCAAGGCGGGCGCGGGCCGGGCGGCGCAGCCCGGGGACCTGGGCGGCGCGGGCGACGACTACGTGCTCGGCAGCCTGCGCGCGGGCGGCGCGGGCGGCGGCGGGGGCGCGGGCAAGACGGTCAAGTGCGTCTTCCTGGACGAGGACGACGACGACGACGACGACGACGACGAGCTGCAGCTGCGCATCAAGCAGGAGGCGGACGACGACGACGACGAGCCGCCGCACCAGCAGCTCCTGCAGCCGCCGGGCCCGCAGCCGCCGCCGCTGCTCAGACGCTACAACGTCGCCAAAGTGCCCGCCAGCCCCACGCTGAGCAGCGCGGCCGAGTCCCCCGAGGGCGCCAGCCTGTACGACGAGGTGCGCGCCGGCGCGGCCTCGGGCGCGGGCCCGGGCAGCCGCCTCTACTACAGCTTCAAGAACATCACCAAGCAGCAGCCGCCGCCGCCGCAGCCCGCGCTGTCGCCCGCGTCCGCGCGCTCCGTGTCCACGTCGTCGTCCGGCAGCGGCGGCGGCGGCGGCGGCGGCGGCGGCGGCGAGGACGCCGACGACCTCCTGTTCGACCTGAGCTTGAATTTCTCCCAAAGCGCGCACAGCGCCGGCGAGCAGCCGCCGGGGGCCGGCGCGGCGGCCGGGAACCTGTCCCTGTCGCTCGTGGACAAGGATTTGGATTCGTTCAGCGAGGGCAGCCTGGGCTCGCACTTCGAGTTCCCCGACTACTGCACGCCCGAGCTGAGCGAGATGATCGCGGGGGACTGGCTGGAGGCGAACTTCTCCGACCTGGTGTTCACGTATTGAGAGGGGCGCCCCGCTTCCCGCGCCTTCTCCCCGCGGGGGCAGAGCAGGGCGCGTCGGGAGCGAGCGCGGTGGTCGTGGTGGTGGTGGTGGTGGTGGTGGTGGTGGTGGTGGTGGTGTCGCCGGTGGTGATGGTGGGGGGGTGGGGGGAGACACGAAGATGCCGGTCTCGATGCGATGTCGTGACACAAAGAAATTGGAAAAGATGATGAAAATTTTGGTGGAGTTCAAGTGAAATGAGTAGTTCTAAAACATTTTTTCCTGTCCCTTTTTTTTTTTTCTAAAAAAAAATTTTTTTTTTGCTCCCCTCCCTTCCTTTATCGTGTCTCAAGGTAGTTGCATACCCAGTCTGGAGTTGTGATTTTTTTCCCCCCCCAAATGTGTTTTTGTAATTACGATTTCTTTTTCTTAAATTCGCGATTGCAACAAAGGCGGAGGGGACAGGGCGGGGGAGGGGAGGGAGGACCCGCTCCGGAAGGCGCTGTTGGAAGCTTGTCGGTCTTTGAAGTCTGGAAGACGTCTGCAGAGGACTTTTGGGCAGCACAACCGTTACGCTAGGGAGTTGGTTGGAGATTTTTTTTCCTTAAGAGATCTTAAAGAACTGATGATTTTTTTTAAAAAAAAAAAACAAACACAAAAACAAAAAAGGGACCATTGCAACTTTTTTATTTTATTTTATTTTTTTGGAGGGAGAAAACTGATGTCTTCTATGCATCCGATTCTTAACAAAACTGCAGGGAGCTTGAAAAAATGCAGACTGTACAAACGCTTACAAAAAAAAAACTGTGAACTGACTTAAGATCAGAGTTTACTTTTCAGATCAAATTGTTTATGGTTTTACAAATGTGATTTCTACTTGCCAACTTTTTTTTTGTAACTTGTTCCCTATACCTCCTTGATTGAATACCAGACAGCCTAGACCTCAGTACAAAAGGTATTGAAACATTTTTGATACATAACAGACCTCAGTCTTTTTTAAAAATTAATATATTTTCAGGCGTATTTTTGTACAGTGAAAAGGGAACATTCTTGCTGTGTTTTTTCAGTAAGACTTTCAGGCACTTCTTCCCTTTTGATTTCTTTTTTTTTTTTTCTTCCTGTTTTTTAGCATGCAAGTATGTTGGTACGTTACGTCCTGGTTTTAAAAGGATTAAAATTTTAAAATAATCCTTGCATCTAAAGGCCTTGTGGTTTTAAAAAAAAAAAAGCAAACTTTTTTTTGTACAGCTATAGTAGAGATTTGTTCAATATTTGTAGGTAAAGATTTATTGAAAATGGTGATATAGACCTCAGAGCTGTTATCTTAGTCTAAAGATTGTATATGTACTGTACTATAGTAGGACTTTATGTATCTCATACGCTGTGATATGTGGATGGGGCCCCAGATGGAAGGTTTGAAACTGGATTCTCGATTTTTAGCAAAAAGAAAAAAAAAAAGAAAAAAAGGCACATAGTTTAAAAAGTTTCTCATTTTGTGCAATATAATCTAAATAAAGTACAGACCATCTGCATATTTTGTAGCAAATGGTGGCAAAGCAGACTCAATGCACTGTCGACATCATTGCCTGTTTTTTTTTTTTTTTTTTTTTGTGCTGGAAGTCTGTATCTTGACAATTTTAATAAATCAGCTGGAACTGATAGAAACTCGCATCGCCGATGGTCTCTGTAGAAGTCCAAGTGGAGGTCCTGTGGTCGCAGCGCATTCAGTGGCGAGGCTGATGTGTGCGCGGGCGGAGGTGGGCGCTCGGCTCGGTGTTCCACTGGCCGCCAGGCCGATTCTGTCTCTGCCGCCGGAGGCTGGGGACTGAACGCCAGGGCGGAGGGTTCCGTCCCTCTGCCTTCCCTTTCCTTCTGGCCCCCACCCCCCGGCCCGTGCATTTCCTTTCTCACCTCCTCCTCCACTCCCCGGCGGGCGCGCGGTCGGGTCCTGCGCTCGCCGGGGGTGCGCGTTCTCTGCGCGGGGCTGCGTCGCGGTGCCAGCCGCCCTGGGGGCGCTCCGCTCCCCGCCGATCTGCGTTACGGGGTGGGGACGGCCGTTTCCAGGTTTGAATCCCCCCCCGTCCCCCGGCGCTGCATCTCCGCGTGTGCGCAGAGGTAGATGCCGCGGGAGCGGCGCCCGGGCCAGGAAGGGCCGCTCGGTGTCGCTCGGTGCCGGCGGGAGGCAGCTGGCGCCCGCCGCTGCCATCCGGGGTGTCAGCGGGGGCGCCCGGGCGCCCGCGGAGGTCGGGCCCCGCAGGGGCGCGGGGACGCCGGTGTCCGGAGGGGCGCGGGGACGGGGTGGGGGGTGAGAAAGAAAGCGAATCGGGGAGAAGGCGCCGCCGCACCCGCATCCCCGGCGCCCCCGCGCGCGCGCCGGCTCCCGGGCCGCCCCGGAACTGGCCTCCGGGAAGGTGCCTGGGCTTCTGGGTTGTTCTCGGTCCGCGACCGCGTCGCTGGGGGCTCGGGCGCGACCCCACCCCCCGCGCACGCGCGCGCCCTGCTCGCCGGGGACCCTCCGCGCCGCCCTTCCCCCTCTCTCTCTCGGCTCCGCTGCGCCCGGGCCCGCCCCCCTCTTCCGTGCCTTCCGCCCCTCGTTCCCGGGGGGCCGCGCGGGGGAGGCGGGGAGGCCGCGGGGCGGTTTCGGCGGCTAATTGAAACTCGGCGCAGAGTCCCCGCTACCCCTTCTGTAACCTACTGACACGACTGACCAGGGCTCGGCCTCCATTTTTACCGAGATTTGGCGAGACCAAAGGCGGGCGTCCGCGCGCCGCCGGGAACTGCTGGGCCGACCCCCACCCCCCCCCGCCCCGCGCAGGCCCCGCCTCCCCTCCCCTGCCCCCCATACTTTCCCGGGGCCCCTGCGGCCCCCCGCGCTCCGAGGGCGGCCTCCCGCCGCCCCCACCCCAGCCCCCATCCCTGGGATGCGAAGCCAACAGGCTTTGGCTGCAGATGGACAGACTTCTGCGGCTCTTTCCTTCCGCCGAGCCATCAGGTTTCAGGAGCCCACTTGGGAGCAGAAAGGGCTGCTGGTGGTAGCAAAGTTCTCAGTATAGAACTGGATTTCTGGAGTTGTTTACCTTTTTTTTTTTTTTTTTAACCTTTCAAAATGATAGACTAATGCAATCATGGGTCGGCCGTTTATTTTAGCCACGAATAATTGAACCAGCGGTTTACAATTGACAATTCTCTGTGCTGGTGGTTTTACGTGGCGGCCCCCTGCTGCGGTTCCGAAACTTGCCGAGAACACAAACCCATTTCTAAGACTGAGTCTATGTATTTTTGAAAACCTGGAAACTTGGCGCGTATTTTAGGTTCTAATCCTAGATGAATCTTGGACTTTTTTTTTTTTTTTTTTGTGATGAGGTAGAAACTTTAAGTTAAGGAAATTGGTAACATAATTGGCCTCAGAATGGAAACAAATAGTCTTGGTAGAATAAGAAAGAAAAAAAAAGCTATGTAGCTACGTTCTTGATAGTAAAAAAAAAAAAAACATAGATGGTCAGCGATCTAAATTGAAAACCTGTTAGAACTCAGGACAGGCGCTTGAATGCGCTTTTAACAATATTTAAGGCTGTTTTGATGAATGCATTGTGAAGATTCTTCTTAAGAATTCTTTCTTGAATGTCTAAAACATAATATAATAATACACAGGTATTCTTGCCACTGGATAGTCTTCAATAAAAGTTTAATTGCATTTTTTTTTGGTCTCTTAAGTAAGTCTTATTTTTAACTAAGCATTGACAGAATGTCTTAAAATGGTAACGTGGGGGTGGGGGGTGGGCGCGGAGAGCTGCGGCCTAGCCAGTGGTATCCTGCTGTTTATAACTAGTTCACAGACTTTGATGATGGCATTTTGGTAAGATTTCCAACTTCAAGACCTTAAACCAGCATTCTCTTATTAATTCTTTAAACTGTGGAAATAACCTTCCGGTTCTTACACTCTGAGATGCATCCCTTTTATTAAAAAAAAAATGATAGGAATGCTAATAAAAGGCAGTGTATTTAAATTGTGCTTTGCAAATATTATGTATGTTACGAATGACTACAGTCACAGGGCAAATTATTTGTAGAATGATTATCCTTTAGCTAGAAAAAGATCATTACCACCCTTTTGGGCAGAGAGATTTCTTTTTAATGTTAATCAAGGGGAAGTGATTTAAATATGCATGCATATAGCAATCAGGAGGATTTAGTTGTTTTTATGTTATTTTATTTTTAAGTTTTTGAAAAAGAGAAGGACTCAAAAGGCAAAGGTTGTCCTTCTCTTCTCTGGGAGTTAAAACCACCATCCTTTGATACTGGTCCAGTAAAGGAAATTTACATTTCTTGTTCACTTCAGAACTTAAGTGACTTTTGCCTAAGGAATCTGAGAAATAGAGCGAATAAGCTGCTCTATTTTAAAGTAGTCATTCACTATAAATATATTATATCGATCTTAACTTTTTTATTCTCTGGATGATTAATAATATGTATATTCTTACTTTTTCTTCTAATGGGCATATGTAACCTTGTTGACACTTTGGAGAGAGGATTTCTTGCACTCTCCCGTTTATAGAATCTTTATACTCTTTTACTGCGTGGTCCCCTGCTTTTAACAGATTTCTGAGGCAAATATATTTGTGCTTTTTTTTAATGTAGGATGACCAGCAAAAAATAGTTTACTGAGTTGTCAATTTTATCAGCAGATAAGAAACTTTCTTTCTTACGGTTTCAGGGAAGATTTTTTCAGGATATTTCTCAGTTCTTCTAAGGGCCAAATTTTATAAAATTTCCATTAGGAATGTCAGTTCCAAATACCCTTTGTATAGCCTGGGCCTGTGGGGGTACCGAGTCTGAGCCTTATGTAACCCAACACAGGAATTCATGAGTTCCCAAAGTAACTGTCTCCATGTAATGACTCTTGCACATGCTTCTCAGAGATTGGGCTTCTTTTAATTATTGCTTCTTTCTCACTGTTCATTTGTTTCCTTTCTTCTGCCATATCCCCTTTTAGTTGATGATCTGGCAAATCCTGCTCTTTGGTAACGACTCCCTTGTG